GAAGAGCNTTATTTGAACATCATATTTGCTTTTCCCTTTAGATTAAAATTTCATTAGGTGATTCACATATATTGTAGTCTACCAGAAATATTGGCCTTTTAATTTCGTAGATTATATTGATTGTTAGAGGTGGTAGCTGGTTTAGTTATTGTTGCTTCTCTGTGTTGCCCCCTGTTTCCAGTTTTTTCTGCAAGTGACATTTTATTAGTGTCCATCAAAACTGTCGTCTAGAAATAACATACACCAAGAATTTCTTCTTTCTTAACCATGATATTTCATCTTACAACTTTACTCTTAACAGATTAGGACTTAGTATTGATGCTTGGAATGATCCTTTTTAAGTCTCTGGGTTCTCCACATGCAATGAACTCTGTTATTATATATCTCAAATCACTTTATTGTAATGAACTGGAAAACATTTTCTTTGTAGGCCCCCTTAAGTATATCCCTTGATCTTTTTTTTTTTGAGAAGAAACGAGAGAAAATATATAAAAAGAGGGCAAAACAAGGAAAGAAAAGGACAGCCAAGGGGACAAGATAACCACCAGGCGCAGGGAAAAAGCCAGGAGAAAACCCCTGAACTAGAAAAAAACTAACTAGAAAAACAAGAAAGGCTACGCCAAATCAAAAGACAGCTGCCACCAAATCCCTAGCAATTGAAAGAGGATTATAATCTCTAAACTCAGCAGCCACAGAAGACCATAGAGCAGCCCAGTGTTTCGTTTTATCCCAGAGCTCCTCGACTTCAACTCCCATGTAGTCCTCAAAAACTCTTTTGTTACGCTCCATCCAAATGTTCCAGAAGAGGGCCATCAGCAGGGAACCCCACAAGGATTTGGCTTTCCTCCCTTTTCCTAAGGCATCAAACTCGGTGCTTAGAAGCTCAAAACAGCCCTTTGGGATGACCCAGACTGCTCCAACTTCCTTGAGCAAATTCCACCAGAGTTGGATACTGTACGGGCAATGGAGGAACACGTGATTGACACTTTCCTCCCCTGACTTACACAGAACGCACCAATGTGGAGAAAAAACAAGTATAGGGCATTCTCCTTTGGATTTGATCACAAGTGTTAACTTTCCGAAGCGCCACTAGCCACACCAGGACTTTAACTTTTGGGGGGACCTTAGCTTTCCAAATCTGAGGGGACGGAAGGAATTGTTGCACAGAATCGTTGTTTCGAAGGAAGGAGAAATAGGACTTGCAGGTGAACTGGCCGGAACCTTCCAAAATCCACCTTCTCCTGTCAGCTCTGGAAAGACACAGCCGCACAGCTCCCACCTTCTGCAGTAAACCGGCCACCTCTTCAATCTCAGATTCTCTAAGGTTTCTCCTGGAATCGAAATTCCAGCTTACCGACTGTAAAGAAGGAACCGTCAGCCGTGAAATGCTCAGGTTTTTTGTCCTAGAAAGCATGAATAATCTGGGGAAGATATCTTTCAAAAGACCGCCCTCCAGCCAGCCATCCTCCCAAAACCTCAGCCTCTCCCCGTTACCAAGCACAAACTTGCAAGATAGAAGAAAAGACGGGGAACCAGCCGAGATTTCGGACCACGGACATCTGCTTGAGCCCCGCCTCGGGGGATTAGCGTCCCAGCCGTTAGCGTGCAGACCATACTTGCTCCTAATCACCTTGTGCCAAAGAGAATTAGGTTCAAGAGGGAATCTCCACAGCCACTTGGCTAGTAGTGCGACATTCCGAAATCTCAAATTTCCCAGGCCAAGGCCTCCGTCCTCCTTACTCTTGCAAACATCCCCCCACTTAACTAAGTGAAACTTCTTTCCCTCCCCCACCCCCTCCCAAAGAAACCCATTCATAAGCTTCTCCAGTTTACGAATGACCCCACATGGGACTTTGAAAAGGGACATGTAGTACACGGGCAAAGAACCCAGGACGGCTTGAATCAGGGTTAATCTTCCTCCTCTGGATAAAAAAGCTTTCTTCCAACCTTGGAGCCTCAATTCCACCTTCTCGACCACCGGATCCCAAAACTTAATAGACTTTGGCTTTCCACCTAGAGGGAGGCCGAGGTACGACATTGGCCAAGCGCCCACCTCGCAACCCCAAGAGCTTGCAAGCCTATAAATCTTCTCACAGTCAGAATTAATACCCACCAAAGAACACTTAGTTTTGTTAATCTTCAGGTCTGACACCTTTCCAAAAAGATCCAGTAAAAGCAGCAGATTATTCCAATTCTCCTCGTGCCCATTCAAGAAGAAGATGGTATCATCCGCAAATTGAAGGTGAGAGATCTCCACGTTATCGACTCCGACGCGCAAACCCTTGATCAAATGATTACCTTGGGCTTTCTCAATCATCCTGCTCAGAACATCAACAACAAGGGTGAACAAAAACGGGGACAACGGATCTCCTTGTCTCAGACCTCTAGATGCTTTGAATTTACCTCTGGGTCTTCCATTAATCAAAACAGAAAAATTAGCTGTGCCAAGGCACCCAAGCATCCAATTCCTCCATCTAAACCCGAAACCCTTTCTTAAAAGAACTTCCTCCAAAAAGCTCCAGTCAACGTGGTCATAGGCCTTTTCAAAATCGATCTTGAAGACCAAGCCCTCCTCCTTCTTCTGCCTTACCTCTTCGACCACCTCATTAGAGACGAGAACGGCGTCAAGAATTTGTCTACCTTTAACGAAAGCTCCTTGGGAAGGGGAAATTGTACTACCCATAACCTCCTTTAGTCTGTTAGCAAGGACTTTGGTCACGATCTAAGTTATTGAATATCATGCTCGCCTTGAATTGTCTTTGTCAATAACATGCTCGCCTTGAATTGTCCTAGTGAGTTGATTGTCTACATATTGGGTTTGCCTTGCAAAATGTGGAATGGATATTTGACACTGTTTCTATTCTTACTAGTTCTATGACCTAGTCCTATATACTTCCATAATGTGACTCATCAATTTAATTCCTTTGTAATTTCCTCAACTGGTCTCATTCACCATTGCACCTTGAATTAATGGCGTGTTTACGAATCCGTAATCGGAATGAAAATAAGGAGTCTGGTTCCGATTACGGATCACTCTTCTGTTTACTGAAATTGAGAGGAATCAATAGTGTGTGTGGACCTACACGAAAAATGGAATTCAATTCCTGAAAACGGAGGAATTGGACTCCCTCCATGGATGAGGTAATTGAATTCCCGGAGGGTGAGGGAATCAGGAATGCATTTTGCATTCCTAGTATGCCCTCTTATCAATCTGCCATCAAGAGATCGCATACGAGATCTCGTCTTCGTCGTTCTGGATTGTCGTCGTTCAGGAGGCGATGGACCAGAGGCTTTGACACCGCCAACACACACCGTCGTTTAGGAGGCGATGGCTCATCGTTGTGCAACGTCGCTTTGACAATTGCGACCTTGGCGATGTCGATGCTCATGTGGTCTTGACGGCTGGGAGCCGTTCTGGGTTTTTTCTTCTACGGGATAAGAAGATGGATGTGGCTTTGCCACTTTGTTTACGGCTTTTAATTAGATTATAATTTAATTTATACACAATTAATTAATAATGGACATTTTAACTCTTTACTTTGACTAAATAAATAAAAGTAACTAATTAAAATGCCTTTAAACATCAATATAGAATAAAATATTTGATTTGGGACAAGGGTATTTTAGTAATCATACTGGTTTATATTCCGATTCTGATGAATTAGTAAACAGCTTTATGGAATTCTATTCCGATTCCAGACAGTTTTAGTAAACAACTTCAACAAGAATCTGATTCTGATTCCACCTTATTTCAATTCCTCCTCAATCCAATTCCTCTCAATTTGATTACGGATTAGTAAACGCGCCATAAAGTCTTGTTAAATGATTTTGTTAGCCACTCAATTCTTGAGTATTCAAGAGTTTTTTACACTAATACAGCTATTTTATGCGGTCCTAGAACTTTATATTTTCCTCTCTTTTAATTAACTTCCCTACTTCTGTGGATTGAGCATATCATCCCAATATTTTTATCTTTTCCTATACATTTAACTTGCTTCATATCTCTAGTATCTAGTCAGACTGTTATCCTGTTCATTGTTTTACACTGCCTTGTAATTTTATCCTAACCACTCTTTTTTTTTTTTTTTTTTTTTTTTTCAACTTTGGTAGGATTTCTTGGAAGATTTGTGGGGCCGAATACAAGTTTTATCTAGCAATGGATGGAAACTTGATAGTGGTAATGATCAAGTTTCCCAGATTTCATTTAAACTTAAACATTATATTTTGATTGTCAGTCTTCTTTATTCTATATTTTCTCAAGATTTTTATTTCACTGTTTGATCAAATTATATGCACTCACTTGGCAGTTCCTAGACCTCACCTATCATTTGAAGCACAGCTAGTTGCAGGAAAGTCTCACGAGTTTGGACCCATCAGCTGTCCTGACCAACCTGCTATGCCTTCAACAATGTCTAATATAACTTATGGTAAACAAAAGCATGATGCAGAGTTTATCTATCCACAAAGGATACGAAGGCTGAATATATTTCCTGAAAGCAAAACTGAGGTAGTTTGCTATCTGAGAACTAAATTCCTATGTCTAAACCAACTTTCTCATTCTTAATGTTTGTTAATTTTAAGCTCGCTACTGACTTCTTATTATATTTTCCCTCTTTTTTTTTCTTCTTTCTTTTAATGTTTTCTGTATGACTTGAGTGCCACACTGCTGTGACCAGCTTAAAATATCCAAAGTTTAAATTTTTTGTTTCGTAACTCTCTATTCGGCACAAAAAGGATAAAGGATGTTCCCTCCTCTATTGTGTATGTCGTATGGTTAAGTGTATGTTTGCAGTGGGTTGTATTGTTACAGTGAAACAAGCCGTAGTATTTTTTTGACAATAGTGTAGATCTTTTCTGTAAGGTCTGCACTTAGCCATATGAAGATGAGTTTTTTTTATTATCAAATGATATTCAGCATTGGGTGGACAAGAGTGTCCTGTCCCTAGGTGTCCAACCAGGGAATTTTGTTATTTTTTATTAAGAAGCATCCATAAAATCATAATTCTTGAAGTTTGTTGGATCAAATATTTGCTAATTTTTAGGCTGTTTTTCTCTACTAAGCCTAAAAAGAATTCATATATGTTGTGATTGTTGTTTATGGCCTTGAGATTAAACCTGTGGCCCAGATTTAAAAGCTTCTCTTTGTTCAGGTATCTGCTTCTAGATTTGATTTTCAATTCAAAGCAGTATTTTTCTAGGATTTTAATCCTTCTGGGATTATTTATGGAATTGTATTGGTAAAGAGTGAAAAGAAATTTCTTCGTGCAATCACTCTTGAATTTTTTATAGAATGAAGCTCCAGTTCAAGTTGGTTTTTGTAAAACTATTTTGTAACACATTTACATGATGTATACTTTATGTTAACTTATACAAACTACAAAGGCAAAAAGTAAATTTTATTCTTAAGAGTTTTTACAATAGTTTCTGTTCAGTATGTAGTCCAATTATGTCAAGAAGTTTTTGAACAGTGCACAGTTAAGAAGAGAACGATAATATGGGATAAATTAATAAATATGGATCCTCTATAGGCAACAGAAGAATTTGGTTGCATCTGGTACTGGTACCGTTTTCCACAGTTCTGATTTCAGTATAAACTTAATGGATTCTGTCATATGTTGTCATTTTTACTTTATTATTTTGAGTTACTAGCTTATATCATGTTCATTGCATACTTTTTTCTGCTTGTTTGAATGTATTTCTGCAATAAATTTTGCACATCGATTTTATTGATGACAGGATGTGCAACCCATGGATCGCTTCATCGTGGAAGAGTATCTGCTAGATGTGCTATTTTACTTAAATGGCTGGTTTGTACCTCTCAATGACCTCCTAATAGAAGACATAACTAAATTTCTTGTAGCTTGCTCACTTTAATTAGTTTGTTGACTTTCTGATGAGTAGTATCACTTTGTATTCTGCTTTTTTCTTTTTCTTTTTGGAATTGAGTATATGCTACCAGTTCAAACCAATAGACCAACTCATTTTTCTCTTGAAAAGATACTGTTAGGTGTCTTGTGTTTTTATTGTTCCGAAAGGGTTTTATAATGTATATGATAGCAGAATTGTGTGATGGCTAACTGCTTAGTTTATGCATTTATTGGAAAGGATGAACTTCATTTTAAAATGTTAGATAATTTAGTCAGATACTATGTAAAATCAAACTCGTTTGAGGCATTTAAACATTCAAACCTAATAGTCAAATTTTGATGCATGTCATATTGCTTAATTTGTGTCTGTCTTTGCAAAATAATGTATAAGTGCGGGTTGAGGAGAGGTTGTGATTTTGGATATTCTGTTGGAGGCTTGCAGCGATATATTTGTTGTGTTTGTTTGTTCATGTGAACAAATAAGTTTGTTGCTTTTAAGTCATGTCCTGCTAATGGTACCAAAGCATTGATTGGGGGCAGAGAAGCATAATTTGGGTGTTCCCTTTTAGCGGTTTTAGTTGTAAGATTTTTTAAACTAGCTAGATGCGTGGAAGAGAAAAACAAGCAGATACCTAGTTGAAATTTTACTGGTGTTTTGAAATCTGGATTACTTGGTGTTATCTTACCATCTTGTATTCATTAATGTGTATGCAGGTGAATTGATATTAAACACTGCAGTTTTACTTTCTGAGTCCTTGTACTTAGAATTCTTTGTTATTTCTGTTTTTATTTGATTTTTGCCCTTAACATTTATTCTATTTGTTCTTCTTTCATGCAAAGCTAGTCGAAAAGAATGCGCTTCATATATGGCTGGCCTACCTGTGCCCTTTAGATATGAGTATCTTATGGCAGAGACAATTTTCTCCCAGGTAAGTTGTTAACCTTTGCATTTTTGCTGTCTTTTAGTTCATATTTTGATTAGGTATTTTATTCTCTTTCCAGTCATACTTTATCCATACGTGAAATATATATGATTTGTTAATCATATGAGTTTAACACATTGTAGCAATATTTGGTGGCTTAGTTATGAGCCAAGAGTTAAATGGGCTGTATGGGTGGAGTTGTTTCTTCAGTTTGGTTGCTACAGTTTTTCCAGTGTTATTTGCAAGTAATCCTTTTGTAGGGTGATTCTCCAAAGCTGCATATAGTTTGCCTAGGTTTTAGGTTTTGGAACAATCGGTTTATCTTCATTTCAATGGAAATATTTCAAGGAGAGTTTTTTCTTTTATTTGGAGAAATAATCTGTATACATCCATATGGACATAAAACATTGGCAGTCTGAATTTAATTTTCAATCCCAATTTGCTAGCTGATTAATAACTCTTGGAAGATTTTTTTCATTTAAGGTTATGGAATCGTTTTCTAAATTAATATGGGTGCCTTTTGTTTAAATTCATCTTGATTTATTGTTCAAATCTTTAAGGATATTTTAGGGGGAAATACCATGTTATAGGGTTATAAAGATTGTAAATGAATTTATTGATGATGAAATAGCTTAAAATGCAAATTATTCTTTTACAATTATATGTTAATTACGGATTTTTGTCACAAAGTATATAATAGTCTAACATGGAGTTTGATAATGAGATTCATATTAGAATTCAATATAATTTTATTGAGTATATTTTTCATTGAGTAGAGTAACAAATGAACTTCCCAAAGTAGAAAAAGTTTATAAATTTTCCCTTTGAGTACAGATTTCAATAACTTTAACTCCACTGAGCAAGCTTAACGGAATAAGATAGGATTAGATCCATATTTTCCCTGCTTTCTTGGACATTATTTTTTTTAACAGATTTGTTCCTTGACTATATCATTATAAAATTGTATAGTTTAAACTTTCTTATGTAAAGCAAAATGATGTGTTTTATATTTGCGCAGTTGCTTATGCTACCACAACCCCCTTTCAGGCCAATATATTACACACTAGTTATTATCGACCTCTGTAAGGTAATATGAATGCGATTATTTTGTCTCTGTCTTGGTCTTTTGTCTGGTTGAATTGAAGTAGACGTCAATTTAAAGCAATCTGACAATGAAGTTTAATTCTTAGGCTCTTCCCGGAGCCTTTCCTGCAGTAGTTGCTGGTGCTGTACGAGCTCTTTTTGACAAAATAGCTGATTTAGATATGGAATGTCAAACACGACTCATCCTTTGGTTTTCACACCACTTGTAAGTTCCAGCATAAGCAGTACCATTTTTAAGTGATGAATATTTCAAATATCCTTTCTAACTTGCCATTTTGCAACCTTGCTACATTACCTTGTAAAGTATATTACTTGGGATACTTTGGATGCGATCCCTAATTCTTAACATTCTTTGACTAAAACCTTAATGGTATTCAAAGTTTGATCAAAGTCCTTTGACTTTGTACAACTCATTATATTACAATTAATATTTATATTTTTATAGTTTTGACATTAATTTTTTGATATTTTATGAGATTTATAATCCTATAAATTTAAAATCCCTCATTATAATACTATTAGAAACGGTTACAATAAAAAAATTCAAACATTTTGATTGAATAAATGGATAAAAACTATGTAAAAATAAGAAATAATAAATGGCAAAAGAATGTATCCATAGTGTTAAAAAAAATTGGTACATTTCACATATAACAAAGTAGTACATTAATAAAGAAGAATGGGTACATTATAAATAAATTAGGGTATAGATAAAAGAATAAACAATTATGAGTACAAATGAATTTTTTAAAAATATAGGCGCTAAAAGAAATTAATACATGGGTACGAAATAAAACTAAAAAGAAAATACTACAAATTTAAAAAATGTTGCAAACTAAAAGTGGGTACAAACTAAAAATATAAATTTATGATACAAAGTTTAGGCATAAAACATAAATATACCATATGTAATTTTTATATCATTGATTAAATATGCAAATATACTAATTGTAACATTTTTAATACTAAAGGAATATATTTAAAAATAAAAATATTTTATTATTCAAATAATTAATGATATTATTAATATCCAAGGACCTTGATCAAAAATTGAAAATGAATAGGATTTTAATCAATGAAGTAGCAAAAAGAAGGATGTGAACCTAATTTCTCCATATTACTTTAAGGGGATAGACTGCTTGAAAAGTTACTAGCCTCATTGCTTTACTCATGTTTGGACCTTGCTCTACAGAAATAGCATCTTTTTTGTAAACTCCTATCTCATGTGAAGGTGGAATTCTATCCTATGTCCCATAACTGCCAAGGACATTACTGAAATTTTGGTAGGGGAATTACTACCAAGCTATGAAGCCCGGATACTCCAAAAATTATAGATATTTTTTTCCCTATTGTATATGGTGCTTGCTGGATAATTCTGAGATAGAATACATAGATGGTACTTCAAGTCTGTATCCATCGACTTTTTGGCAACTTTGACTTTTGGATACCTGTATCCACATGACGGACACACATGCTAAATTCAACATAATGATTATTTGCATTTATTTTAAAAGAAGTTTGGGCTATTGTATTTTTTGGAAGTGATAAGTGATGTATAACTGGAAATGAAAGAAGAAGATCTTTTTTGCTCTGGTGTGACAGAACAAATTAAGGGGCTAGGACTATATTTTGCAACATAGAGAAAGAGAAGAAGAGCTGTAAGAAAGATATGAATGCTATAAACTCATTTTATTACTGTTTTATTCATGTTTTGTCCATATCCTAGCTTTTGGAGATTTTCCGTGTCTCTGTATCCTGACGTATCGTGTCCCATTACCCATAACCGTATCCATGCAACGTAGCTGCCGAGCTATCTAGCTCTGTAGACATGGATAGAATCTGGATTTTAGTTAATATACTGAATTTGTTAACATGCATAATTCCTAATATACTATGCCTTCCTGACCATGCAGATCAAACTTTCAGTTCATCTGGCCATGGGAAGAGTGGGCTCATGTCTTAGACCTTCCAAAATGGGCCCCACAGCGTGTTTTTGTTCAGGAGGTGCTGGAGAGAGAAGTCCGTTTATCTTACTGGGATAAAGTGAAGCAGGTACTTAACCATTCTTAAGGATATTGATAACTAGAATTGAGGTTTTAACAGCACAAGGCTTGACACCTTGAACTAAATAAACTCTTGGTTTATAGGATATCATGCGAGCACTATTTGTTCCTTGGTTATTCTTTTTCTAATTTAGTTCTTTAATTATATTCCCTTTAGAGTATTGAGCATGCCCCTGGTCTAGAAGAGTTGCTTCCTCCCAAGGGAGCACCGAATTTCAAATTTAGCGTTGAAGAAACCAGCGAAGGAAATGAGCTAAATGCACTTTCTTCTGACCTCAGAAACATGGTGAAAGCTAGGGCATCTGCCCGTGAAATGATAGTATGGATAGAGGAAAGTGTGTTTCCTGTTCATGGGATGGAAGTTACCCTCAATGTGGTTGTGCAAACTCTCCTTGACATTGGATCTAAAAGTTTCACTCATTTGATTACTGTATTGGAGAGATATGGCCAAGTCATTGCAAAACTATGTGCTGACCAGGATAAGCAGGTCATGCTGATAAATGAGGTTGATTCTTACTGGAGGAATAATTCTCAAATGACTGCTATTGCAATAGATAGGATGATGGGATATCGACTTTTGTCTAATCTGGCCATTGTCAGATGGGTCTTTTTACCTGCAAACATTGAGCAATTTCATATATCAGATCGTCCATGGGAGGTATGCTTACAGCATTTCTATTGCATTAAACTTAAACTTGTCTTTCTGCTGTTATAACTATTTGCGTTATGAACGCATGATTGAGTTTTGGTGTACTTGGTAGTTGTAAGGTCATGTTTTTCCTTATTGGCATCTACCTTGAAAACAACATGAACAGAACACTTCAGAGTGGTACAAATCTATATAGCTGCTTCTAACGTGAGATAGTAAAGTTAATATGGCATCTACCTTGCTCAAACAAATGGAAACTGAATTAGTATAAGCTTTAAATTTGGTCTAAATCAAAATCATTATGCTAAGATAGGCAATTCAAGATAATGCCACTCTAGTGGCAAATGTGGATGATTGTTAAAACATGAGACTAATCAAAATGAAAAAAGAAAGAAAAGGAAATAGTGCCTTTGCAGGTTTTCTCTAGTTTTGGCCTGCATTCTTATATTCTCGAATGTTTTTCTGTTGTAAATTTACTTTGTGTGAGATCTTCCAAATTTTAGAGCTTTCCAGATTCTTGCTTGCATGATGTTGATATGGTTGATATTATAACTAATACACTGCAATTGTTTTCTCTTATTGTGGCCTTCTTGATTTGTGTAAAGGATTTAGTCAACCAGATTGAAATCATCTTTGATATATTTCCAAATTTCACCTTTCTTACCATTTTTATTATATACACGGCCTTTGTTTCCATAACGGGAATTTACCCTGCTAAAGGGTCAGATAAATGAACATACGTGTTCTTCAACTTGGCTTCAAGAATAATTGTGAATGTTCCTGGCATCAGTTAGAACTCAAAACCAACCTACATTTACTGGTTAACATTTAAACAAACTTGAACAAATTAAAGATTTACTAGTTGTGGCCATCTTGTGTCCGTGTAAATTACTTGTTTATGGTAATTCAATTTGTTTTCTTTTAAAACAAAATTACTGGTAAACATTTAGTTTTTTTTTTTTTTAGAATACTAATATAGGGTAGTGTTCTTTTACCAAATTTATGAAATGTTCTTTGACACTTGACGCAACACGATTCCCCATGATTAAAGGTTGACAGAATGGCAACATGACATGCAAGATATTTGGTAAGAGAACATGTTGTCACATAAATTTTCTTCTAAGGTTTTCAAATGGGGTTTGTTTCTCAGATCGGTCAAGTTTGATAGTTGAGATGCCAATAATTTCACTGAACCGTCTACAGAATAAAATATACGGTTCGGATCGTTGAAACACACGTACATATTTGTTGTGTATTGATCATTTGTTTTCTTCACTGCTCGGTAGCTTTAAATATATGCTTAAAGTTGTTTAGGGAGTTTGGTATCAGCTGGGTTTTACCCATGGATTGTTATCCTTTTATGGTAGAGAAGCATAAAGTACCAGGAAAGTGGAAGAAAGCCAAGGTCTTGTGGGGGTTGTATAGTTTCAGCTATCTTCTGGGCCATTTGGATGGAAGGAAACAGGCTGATTTTTTAGGACTACGCGGTCAGTAGAAGGGAGTATCTTTGGGATAAAACTCGGTTATTGTCATCTCTATGGGCATCTTTTACTTCAGAATCTAGATATTTTTCTTTTTCAGAAGTTTGGCGTAGTTGGAATGCTGCTATTAGTTAGTTTTCTGGTGTTATCGTAGTGTCTAAGTGTCAGGGTGATATTGCTATTTATCCTGGCTTTGTTTGCGCTTTTGCAGACTTCTTGTCCACTCTTGTATTGTAAAAATTGTTTTGTATATATTAACTGGGGATGTATCACTTCAATATTGTACTGCTAACATGGCTTGCTGTCAGTTGAACACTCTTCATATACTCTGCTGCATTCCCAATTTCCCATCTTCCCCTTTCATAAGAATGTGAAATTAATTTTTTATATTAGTTGTTTACTAATTAGCCGACCCCACTTAGTGGGAAAAGGCTTTGTTGTTGTTGTAGTTGTTTGCTAATGTATTTATTCTTTTTGACCTGGAGCTGTTGCCATATAGACTATCCTTTCTATGCTTATATCTTCATACGTGTTTTTCTTGATTGCTTATACATTTTTGTCCCTATCCTCCCAACAGATACTAAGAAATGCAGTTAGTAAGACATATAACCGTGTGTGTGATCTAAGGAAGGAGATTTCATCTATGAAAAAGAGTGTCGTATCAGCCGAAGAAGCTGCAGCAACGGTGAAAGCAGAGTTAGAAGCTTCTGAATCAAAGCTTTCACTCATGGATGGTGAACCTGTTATGGGGGAAAATCCTGGGAGGCTGAAGCGTTTGAAGTCACGTGCTGAAAAGGCTAAGGAGGATGCCGTGTCTGTACGTGAATCTTTAGAGGCTAAGGAGGCTCTTCTAGCCCGATCCCTTGATGAATTTGAGGTACGGAATAGTCCTTTTCATCTGTTGAATCGTTTTCCCACAATATATATAAAAATTATGTATATATTTCGGTCTTGTAGGCACATGTTATAATCTGAACTTTTAATTAATCAGGCTGTTGGCACTCCTCATCATTTCCTTGTATTAACCATGATGCTCACATGCAGGCATTATTCTTCTCCTTGTACAAAAACTTCCTCAATGCGTTGACTGAACGGCTGCCAGAAGCATCGAAATGTGTTACATTGCAGGGATTAAAGGGGATTCATGCAGATTCTATGGCCGTTGACCATGAGGAATCATCCGCAATGGATCTCGACAATGAGAATAGAATACCCAAGAAAAGGTATTTCTTTCGCCTCACTAAAATAGAAAATTATGTATTACATGTAATGTAAATGAAAAACATGTTGACTAGAAGGTTAGAGCGGATGAGGATGTTATGGAGGGGAGAGATTGGGACATGGATTATGTATCATAATCCTTCGTAGTTGACTAGCTTTATTGTCGTGCAGTCTCCTTTATTTTCATAAGATATTTTGTTTTTTTATTTATCATAAATTAATAAATTGTTTTGACATCGTGTGACAAGATATCCAAGTGTATTTAACTTGTTTTCTCAACTTTTGCAGTGAACTGAATGGTGGGAAGACGAGTAATGTTTATAATGTAGGTGAAAAAGAGCAGTGGTGTCTATCGACTTTAGGCTACCTCAAGGCCTTCTCGAGGCAATATGCTTCTGAGGTAAATAGAGTGTTGCTTCTCGTTCTTTTTGCGACTTCCCTTTTCTGTTTGTTTTCCTTTCAGCCCTCCCCCGCCCTTTTTTTGGTATAATTTACTGTTTTCTCCAGATTTTTGGGTGAAGTTTTATAGACATGCTTAATATTCTTTGCTACTGAATCTCTGACCTTGTATATGTACCTGGCAGATTTGGCCTCACATGGAGAAGTTGGATGAAGAGGTTCTAACCGAAGACGTGCATCCTCTTATTCGTAAATCAGTTTATTGTGGTCTTCGTCGAGCAACTGATGGGTAATGAAACTTCTAACTTATCCCCGCACCCATTCCCCCTTTTTTTTTTTTTCCAAGCAAGCAACAATGCATGTTAACGTCGATGAGGGACCTTATAGATTTGAAGGAGATGAGACTAGCTACAGCATGTATAACGAGTGTTAGGTGATTTCTTTGGCTGGTTGCATATGTGTAACCAAATCAACTAATTAGAGGCTTAGTATTGTGAAAATTCTTATGGATGGGAGCACTTTGTTACAATTCAGCTGCTTCTCGCATTGTTTTGGGGTTTTGCATGTATGAAATGGACTGTCGTTGCCTCCGATAATTTCCCGCTCGGTATGTCGATGTGTTGGTTGTTTTCGTTGCCAAGGAATGGGAACGGCACCATTTTGTTGGACGTATCGTACCGCGTTAAGTGTTGGTGCTTAGAATCGTAGTTCCGACGGTGTAAAAAGTGTCGTATTGACAAAAAATGTCCCACGCTAGTCTTTAGTCTTTTGTGAGTATTAGTTGCAAGCCTACCACCAAGGTTTATGTAAAATACATCAAATTTCAGAGTTGACTGAAACTTTCCCAAAAACCCACTTTTGGCCCTTAAAAGGAAGAGTTCCCCCTTTTTTTTAAAATAAAAATGGGAAGGCTTCTCCCCTTGTAAAATATTAATCAAATCAGAATTATTTGAGGCATTTAATTGAGTTCAAAGAAATTAATGAATACTTTGTTTTTTAAGAAACATTGAAATTTCATAGTGATAATTAAACAGACAAATGATTTTGGATTGAATTCTCACTTCTCTCCTTTAATGCTTGAATCTCATCTGAAATAAAATAAAATACTAAATGTTGGTTAAGAATATAGGGCATTGCTATTTGCTAGAGTAGTATTAATAAGTGAAGTGACTGGTAAAATAGAATATGGCTGTATACATATCATTGAACTTGGTATGACGGGAGCTTTAATGAAAAGGGCTTGGATCAACAAATATTTAACCAAAAACCATCCAAAAATGTTATTTAACCAAAAGGGCTCAAAGTTTAATAAAAAACCATTCAAAACTATTGTCCACGATCCAAAATTACAAGCCCAACCCACTACAAATCTATACTTCCGTAAATACCCGTAAATGATTCGATATTGTCCCAACTCTTCACCAACCTCAAACCAGCACGAAACTGCCATAATAACTCTCTATCTTCCTATCAAATCGAATTCCCCCATTTCAAAATCCACCATATCAAAGTTGAAAAATGAAGCATTCATCGGAACAAAGCCACCGAAACAAGTTCAAAGAAGTTCAATGGCATAAACTTTGTTGAAACAAACCGGCAAAAAAGCGGTGCAAAATGTACCAAAACTTCTGTTGGAACAGACTGACGAAAAAGATGTGGAAAACGTACTAGAACCTTCATGTGAACAAACTTGAGAAAAAGAAGTGCAAAACGCACTAGAACCATCGTCAAAACAAATCAAAGAAAAACTAACACTGTTTCTGGAAAAAAACTAACACTCTGGAAAAAAAAAAAAAAAAAAACCAAAACATAAAATTGTTTTTGGAAAAACATAACATTGTTTCTGGAAACAAACAAAAAATAACACTGTTTCCGGAAAAAATCAGATACAATGTGTAAAACCTAACACTGTTTCTGAAAAACTAAAACTATTTATGAGAAAAAAATAGAACCACCGTAGCAACAAACCGGCGAAAAACTAACACTGTTTTTGGAAAAAAAAAAAACTAATACTGTCTCTGGAAAAAAAAAATAACAAAATATAAAACTGTTTTTAGAAAAACAAAAAAATAACATTGTTTCTAGAAAAAACTAACAATGTCTTTGCAAAAAAAGAACCAAAACATAAAACCATTTTTGGAAAAACAAAAAAATAACATTGTTTTTTGAAAAAACTAAAACTTTCTTTGGAAAAAAAAAACCAAAACATAAAACTGTTTCTGAAAAAACCAAAACATAACATTGTTTCAGGAAAAATAATCTGATACAGTGTTTGTTTTGTTTGTGTACAAACAAACACTGATTCTGAAAAAAAAAGAAGCAAAATATAACATTGTTTCTAGAAAACAAAAAAAATAACACTGTTTCTGAAAAAACCAAAACATAACACTGTTTCAGGAAAAATAATCTGATATAGTGTTTGTTTTGTTTGTGTACAAACAAACACTGTATTTGAAAAAAAAAAACAAAATATTACACTGTTTCTAGAAAAAAATGTTGGCAAAATTGTATTTGAAAAAAAAAACATTTTATCTGAAAAAAAACTGAACAAAAAGCTAACAAATCTCAAATTTATTTTTCGGAAAAACAAATGATGAACTCCACTGAAGAAGAAAAATTGAAAAACAGTACCTCGAATTCTTCTTTTCTTATTCATCAAATTGAAAGGTTAATAATCATATGAATGAGAAGGGAATGGCAAAAATTCACCTTTGGCTTTTTTGCTGATGTCAGTGAAAGTGCAGATCCCTTGCTCATCTTTACAGAGAAGAGAGAGGGAAAGAGTGAGTGAGAAATTTTGGGAGGGAGGGAGAGAGAGAGAGAGTGACAAAATCATATCGTTTTGCTTGTAGGAGATCGTTTCCAATTTTCACAGAGATGGAGACGGCTCAAAATTAGGTTTGGGGTCGAAGCTGTGGTTTTTACATAGTGATACAAATGGAGTTGCTATGCAAGATTAGAAAGAAAAATGGAAGGTTTTGAATGTCAGGAAAAAATGGGGGAGATAATATGAGAGAGATCCATAATGAAGAGAGATTAACGGACAAAAGCTTGCCGTTAGGGATAAAATCGTAAACTCAATATTTGGGCCATTTTAATTAGACTAATTTAATATTGGTCTTTGTTCTAACCATTAAATAAAGTTATTACATGGTTTTTGGTTAAAACTCAAAGTTTTCAAGTCATTTTCATTAGTTTTCCTTTTAAATAAAGGTAAATAATAAACGTTTTCATTCTATTTCCTAAATCATTGACTAATTTCTTTTCAACACTCCCCCTGAAGTTGGAGAATGAAGATTGAGATCTCCCAACTTGCAGAACATGGATAAGATCACATCTTTACCAAGGGGTTTAGGGAACATGTCGGCCAACTGGAAAGAAGGAACATATTTCGTGACAAGTAAACTACCCTGTATTTTGTCTCGGATAAAATAAAAATTTCTTGAATACGTCAGGTTTGTTTGTGAAAGACAGGATTAACAATTGTCTCAAGCGACTCTGTTGTCACACTAAGTTTTTGTATCGTTTGGATGTGGAAGTTGGAGAAGGCGCAGCAAACTACAGAGTCAAGTGAGTTCACAACATGTCATTGCCCTGTGTTCTGGCTTTGCAAATTACAATAAAACTGTTTTCTATCTTTTTTGGAACGAGAAACTTCAATCCCAAAGAAGTATTTCAGGTTCCCGAGCTTTTCGATTCGAAAGTTCTTGAGAATGTAATTGCCTTCTCATCATTCCCAAAAATTACTATGTCACCTGCATAAATCAAGAGAGCATTAGAAAGGGGTACTTCACTTGCATGTGAGAGAGAGTGGTCTGCTTTGGATTGGTAAAACAGGCGGCCTAAATGGCCTCAGTAAATTTAACAGATTGACGAAATGCCTATTTGAGATCATACAAGGATTTATTGAGGTGACTATTGGAATTGTGTCCAAAAAGCTAACTTAGTAATATTTATCATTTTGTAAGAACTCCATTTTAATTAATTAATTAATAATATGGCTTTTTTTATTCATGAGTTTGACTTAATATTATAGAGATAATATACTATGAATAAGTTCATAGGATTTAAGGTATGAAAGCAATGTCCTAAATGAGGTTAGGGTTGGAAGACTTGTATTCCATAGTCATTTAGTCCTTAAATAAAAGTCATAGTCGTTTGGAAAGTCATCCTGATATTGACATATCTGGAAAGGTCGATATATATCACATTAAAGTCAGCATGGTCTCATGCTTCGCGTGTTGAACACATGGTGGATATACAGGTGCTTGTTTATTGGTCAAGTTCACATAACATTGCCCACCCAAGAAACTTAAACATATGATGCTTAGCACATGTCAAACGTTACAAAGTTTTGGTTTCTAGAATGCAAATAGTTCTTAGACATGAGGCATCATTGATATCTTATGCTTAAAGATATGAACTTTGATTTCACCTCAAAGCTCTCGCAGGTCCCAATTGTGTGATACTTGGGTTCATATGTATGAGTATAGAGATATGTAAATGTGCAATAGGGAATCTATCACCTTTTGGTAATTGTTCAATAGAAGGAGACATTCCTCAAAGTCACTTGAAAATCTATCTCAGAAATCTCTAGTCAGAGTAACTGTTGATCAAACTGTGTTTATATGAACTGCATCAACATGAGATGCATCATGGTGAACGTAGATATCTATATGTGATTTGACATTTTTTCATATCACATAAATTTTGATTCGGATATAGATGATAGAAGAACTTAATTGTATTGTTACTACAATCAAGGTTCAAAAAAGTATATGATTAGTTCGCATACACTTCTACTATTCTGGGTAGTCGTGAAAAGCTGTTAGGTGTCACTCATAATTTGTGAACTGAATTTAATTAATTTCGCTGACGGCTTTAGTTAGAACCTAAGAGATCACACGCCTATGATAATTCTAGTAAGATGGATGATACAAGATATAACTAATTGTTAATTATATTGAATTAATTATTTATGCCTATTGGACATGGTTTTAACTAAAAGAAGTGTTGAGCTTTATTTGATTAAAAGAGGTCTAAGTCACAAGCCCAAGAGGGCAAGTGAAAGTGGGCTTGGCGCAAGGTACAAGGTCTTAAGCGTCAAATTCTAAGAAGGTGTGGCAAAGGAGTCTATAGCCCTTTGTGTTTCCCTCATAATTCTAATGCAATCAGTTTTGTCCATCATAGAAAAAAGAGAAAAACACTCTAGGCTGAAAACACATTTGTGTTTCCCAAATTCTATTAATCCAAGTGAGAAATATAGTCAGCACATTTAAATCAATCACTCCATTATTTGTTGCTAGTTTACTAGCGTGGATACTCTTAGAGGCTCAACACTTGAGGAGTTTCATATGATCAATAATGAAGATGAAGATTCCAAATACGAGGATGATTCTATAGAGCGGCATGTGGATAACTAAGGATTTGTGTAAGTAAATCTCTTTGCCTTTATTCTTTACTACATTATCGATTACAAGCAACGGAACACAAAAGCTCTCAAGTT